CAAAACGCGAAAAAGGCGCTTCTGTTCTATTGAACCACACCCGTGGGGGTGCAGCGTCCATGATTGAAGCTCGGAACGTGCGCGTGGTGAAACAGCGCCACTTGCCACACCATTTCGGCCATATTTCTTGATGACCTGAAAATCAAAACTATGCGATTATCCAGCAATGTTTGTTTAGACGGCGATATATCAGTCGATCCAGTTCGCCTTCACTCAGTGCTACATCTACTTTTCTGACATGGTCGCGTATGCGATTGGAGCAACCATGATTTACTATGGACGCGTCGATTCGAAGAATACAGTTGTGTAAGTGACTATCCGAAAAGGTTTTACCAGTTGTTCTCCTAGCGCCCATTATCCTGTGTTTTCGGCAGCTGGGGCAGTAGCGCCAGATTTAGCCATGAAAATGGATTCAGCTCAGCATAACGCAAGACGAGGGGACGTCAAGGCGGTGACACCTCTATCACTGTTTTGAACATCTTTGTTCTGCTACAAACAAGACTAAGCTCAAGGCGGGGGAGGGAGATTTCAGCTCAAGGTGCGTGAGCAATTTCCATGCTCCCGCAGTTCCTCCCCCACCCTAGGCTCCGTCCTAGGCGGGCCCATATCTTGCCATAACGCCGTTTCACTATTTTCTTTTTGACACGGTGGCCACTAGGATGCCTCTGAACCACGACAGAGCGCTTTCGTTGGCCAAGTAGTCACTAATCCTGCATTGCTTAGCTCTGTGTGAGAAATGTTGTTTCCGGGAGTCTTTGGCACCCACAGAACCCCTTATATAACTCGAAGATGACTTGCTGTAGTCTTTCAAAGGGATGCTTCGGGAAAAGACCCTACTAAATTTATCCCTTCATTGGGTAGAATAGAGCTGTTTGCAAAAGCCACAGCTGCCCACGCGCCTCGAAAATGCGTGCAAGAACGCTAGGTCCTGCCACTGCTCTCAATTGGTGGTCCTAAGTGGTCTTCCCATCTCTCGCTATGCACCAGCCGTGTATCTGTGCCCTCTCGTACGGCATGCTTCCTCGTGAACCTCTTTTCTCTGCGCACTCTCTCTCCGTCGCATCATGAGCAACTTTTCAGATACTTCAAGCCTGCAATTTTAGTGTTTTCAAGGAATTCTTTTGTTTTCTTCCCACATTCAGTTCTTCAAAAGCGTACTCTCAGTCCACTCCTCAACCGCCCCCCTTCCCCCTCCCGTCACTAACGATAAGTTCTTACACATCAATTTCGCTCTGGTCTTTAGAGGTCTTTGCGGAACACGACAGGTTCAGGTGTCACAAAGTTTTCAGGGAGGGAGGGGGGAAGGGTAGGATGGGTACGCTTTAAGGTTTTGAAGCCTCACTTTGTCGTTCAGCATTTGATGGTTACTAAAGTAGTTGGATGCTGAGAGTTTTATCGGCAATGATTAAAACAGTTTATTTACCTTATATCCGTCAGTTATGTGATTCAGTCAGTGTTGTAAATTCTATGGAATCGGTCCAATGCGTGTGGAACCGTTTCCACAGCACGAATTCAGAGTACGATTTGTTTATAGAGCAGCAACGAGTGCGAACTTCGCTGGATGGCTGTCATCTTTGCATCATCAGCTTTCGGCGATTTCGTGCGATCCCATTTTGCTGCTCAATCGCTGGTACGCCCTCATCGACAGTTATAAAAAACCAAGAGGGAGGTGAAACACCTGTGAGTTGTTTAGAAATTCAGCTCTCTTGTATTTTAAAAATAGCTTTGGTCGCGTACTGAAAAACTCACTGATGAACTTGCTGGTATTGGACAGGCGCCGAACAGGACTCACATGGGTGTCAAATAGAAGCATTGATCAACGGGTCAGGCTAATAGTTTTCTATGACTCACACTCATAATTATTGTTCAAAATAGCATCATGAAGGGATTATTAGCATGGCTGTTGGGCCTTCAGGTAGGATGCACCAGGGGTGACAGTCAAGCATCCGATATATGATAAACAAAATGATTCTACTGAATTATATAGGGGTAGTTGCGGGTTGGGCCACTGCATTCGTCCCTCGCTCACTTCTGCATGGATAGGGCTTTGAATGCGACTACAGGCTACACAAATGACTTGCAGGAGGCTGTACGGAACTGTTCTCTTCGTTAATGTCCACGCTGTACACAGGGTCAATCATCGTGTTCGCACTTTTTCGAGAATTTTACTCCCCACCATCACCATGAGACTTATGGTTTGAAGGCTCCAATGACAACCCCCTCCTCCTACTCAACGTCCACCCTTGCCATCATGGCTGTATTTGATTCTAAGACCAGTCGACAGCCACTCCAACTCGGCCCACTTTTTCCCTCCAAAACGACCGTGGAGGAGGGAGTTTGAGTGGCATGTTTGAACTTCCTTCAAATTCGTCAAGAAATCTGTATCGAATGGCAACCCGTTCTGATGACTTCCGCTCGCACTTCTTCGAAAATCATTAACCGCCCTCAACCCCGAACTGCATGCGGCCCCCTCCCCGAAATCACATATGCGCGCCCCTCTGGCTGTTTCAGCTTTGTTTATTGTGAAAATGGCGCTCTAAGTGGAAACCGAAGCGTGATTTGGCGTCTTCTAGTGAGTCCGTCTGAGTCGTCCTAACCAGTGGCTACGTAGCGTCGTCTGCTGGTCTAGTCCCCCCCCCCCCACTCATTTCAACTCATTCTTTTTTAAACCCTCTGTCATCGGATTTTTTTAGAATTAGACGGCATTCTAAACATTATGACGAACTCTGAAAGCAATTATCAGCGTGTCCGTTTATTGTTATTGCAATTGTTACTTCCCAACAATGTCCTCTTTCAGGAAATAAGTGGATCTGTCAAAATTGAAAGAAGCGTCAACTTCAGCTTATCTGCACGACCGGATGGTAAGGTATGTTTGAACTCCTTTAGACTGAACCTGGGAGTGCGTTAATTCTGTCTCATTTAACTCAAATTCTAAGGTATTTATTTATTTGATGTACTGGGGTCAATCACATGGGATTAGATAATGGCACAGCAGGTAGTCGACTATGTCAGGCAAGCGATGGACTTCACTTCAGGGAATAGTATAGGGAAAAGCATAAAAAATTATAGTACTTTTTGACTTGTTTTTATTGGATAACTGCTGTTTTACGCCGCAGTTCGCGTTGCGAAAGTTATCACAAGAATGCTGAGTTGTGGGCAAAACTTTCGCCCCAGCCGGGATTCGTACCCGGATCTCTTGCTTTCCGGGCAATTGTGCTACCAGTGAAATGGTGCCCCGGTGGTGTAACTGGTAGCACAATTGCCCGGAAAGCAAGAGATCCGGGTACGAATCCCGGCTGGGGCGAAAGTTTTGCCCAACAACTCAGCATTCTTGTGAGGCTCTACAAGTGTATTTCAAGAACCTAAAAGTACTTCAGGAGAATCTGGAAAAAAATTTTCTTGCAGTCGGCAGTTTTGGTTTTTATCCCTTCTCTGGGCTTGGACTACCTCTACCTTGTTAGTCAGTTTATATATTTGAGGAGCATACCTTACTTCAGAGGGCTTCTTTGTAAGCTTTCCTAGTATGACCCGACAATCGCATTTTGGCACACCAAGCATTTTGGGGGGTATTTTCGTTCAAAGAAGCTCTTTTCGGTCGAGAGTACGGCCGAAGAGTACTGTATAGAAACGCGAAATTATCGAATGAGCATACGACATTTATACTCTGCTTCCGAAACCAGATGCGCGTCGAGTGCAGACCACACACCACAAGTGACGACGGCCTCCAAGTAAATCTGGTTAGTAGTGGTTCATAGTGATAGCTGATTTTGGTAAATGATAGTTGTAATTAGTGACAACTGATAGAATACAACTGCAACAGGCTAATCATTTCATTGGCAGAAAACATTTACATTTTGTGGAGGCCGTCGTCACTTGTGGTGTGTGGTCTGCACTCGACGCGCATCTGGTTTCCGAAACAAAGGATACGTTTTAGGTTGCCCGAAATCTGAATCTCATTGCTCGAAGTGGCCAGGCTATAGCCCTTGTGGGAGCATCAGGCTGTGGAAAGAGTACCGTGATTCAGCTTCTTGAGAGATTTTACGAGCCGGACAGTGGAAATATTGTGAGTTAATTTGAATGGGATCGGCTCTATAGAATAGGCTCTATTAATTTGCAATTGACTACAGTCTACAGTTTTATCAATCAATAGCTTTCCGTTTAGAAAATCGATAACAATGATTTGAAGCGATTGTGTCGTGTTCACCTCCGCAACAACATCGCTCTTGTGGGCCAAGAACCTGTCCTTTTCAAGGGTAATCAATGATTTTTTTTCCGTCCATATCTACTGTTGAATATTCTAAATATTAGGGTCGATAATTGAAAACATCACGCTTGGACTGGATGGTGTTTAGTGTGTCTGAAGTGCAGGAAGCCTGTAGGCAGGCTAATGCGGCCAACTTTGTTGAGGCTTTCCCCCTGGTACTGCGGAAGTTTCCTTATGGGGACCTACTGAATCTTTCATTAGGCGGTGCTCATTTTCAGGGATACGAGACGGATGTCGGCGAGAAGGGAGGTAGCCTCTCAGGTGGACAGAAGCAGCGTATTGCTATAGCCAGAGCGTTGATTCGTAAGCCGAAGATCATTCTGTTGGATGAAGCCACAAGTGCGCTCGATACTGAAAGTGAAAAGGTACTAGCCGTATTGCCGTGACTTAGAGACCTCAATAAGGTCGATGTCAGACATGCGAATCGACGCGATCCTGGCGATTGGCGATTCGCAAAGTCTAACATCGGCCTAAGGGTGAACATTGTGTCAAAGAATTCGGTACAACCCTCACTGATCGTCTCCTATCA